GGAACTCCTGACCTCAGATGATATGCCCGCCTCGGCCTCCCAAAGTGCTGGGATTATAGGCATGAGCCACTGTGCCCGGCCAGATCTTCTTTAAATGTTTGGTAGAATCTACTGGTGAAGCCGTCAGGCCTATGGCTTTTCCTTGTCAGGAGGTTTTTGATTACTGGTTTAATTATATTTATAGACTATTCAGATTGTGTTTTTTTCCTGATTCAGCCTTGGTAGGTTTCACATTTCTAGGAATTGTTCATTCATCTCGCGTAACTGATTTGTTGGTGTGCAGTTGTCCACAGTGCTGGCCTCTGTTTATATTTCTCTAGACTTGATAGTAAGGTCTGCACTTTCATTTTAGTAATTTGTCTTTTTTCTTAAATCATTCTAGCTGAAGGTTTGTCAATTTTGCTACTCTCAAAGGACCAATTTTCAGTTTCGTTTAGATTTCCTGTTTCTTTTCTATCTGCATTTATCTCTTCTCTAATCATTATTATTTCCTTTCTTCTACTAACTTTGGGTTTTGTTCTTTTTCTAGTTCCTGAGTCATAAAGTTTGGTTGTTGCCTGGAGATCTTTCTTCTTTTTTTGTTTTTAGAGACAGGGTCTCACTCTGTTGCCCAGGCTGGAGTGCAGTGGCACCGTCACAGCTCACTGTAGCCTCAACTTCCTGGGCTCAAGCCATCCTCCTGCCTCAGCCTCCCGGGTAGCTAGGATTACCTGTGTGCACCACCGTGCCTGGCTAATTATTTATTTATTTATTTAAGACGGGGTTTCACCATGTTGGTCAGGCTGGTCTTGAACTCCTGACCTCAGGTGATCTGCCTGCCTTGGCCTCCAGTTTTTGGATTACAGGCGTGAGCCACCATGACCGCCCGCGAATTATATTTTTTTAAAAACATAGGGGCTTGCTAAGTTGCCCAGGTTGTGTTCAGGTGATCCTCCCACCTCAGCCTTACAAAGTGCTGGCAATAGCCGGTCATGGTGGCTCACGCCTGTAATTCCAGCACTTTGGGAGGCCGAGGCGGGTGGATCACGAGGTCAAGAGATCGAGACCATCCTGGTCAACATGGTGAAACCCCGTCTCTACTAAAAATACAAAACATTAGCTGGGCATG